AGACTGGAAATTCGGTTCATAGGTTGTACATAATTATCAACTTAATGACAAATTATCTTTGATTGGGTTTTGAAATAAATGCGACCTGTCATCACGAAATGAGCTTGAAGTCGGACTTGTTAAGAATTGAGATATTTATTTGTTTGAATTCTGCAGAACAAGAGCTTTCCAATGGATGTACATGTACATGTAGTTAAAGGATGCCGAGTTCAGTAACAGAAGTACTGGCATAAGACCACCAACTTACTGTACATGTACTTGAAGTTGAAAAATTGAGTCTTGAGGAAATGACATGTAAAAATCTGGATTGTATTTATAGTGAATGAAGAGTCAACTAATAAAACGGGATGAAAATAGGTTCTAAAGATGTCTGAAGAAACAAACATATTGGAGAAGGGTAAAAAAGGACTTATAGATCAAGGTTCACCTGGAAACAAAATGGCAATTTCCAACTTTCAGCTCATTTTTTTGTGACAGATCACAAATATGTGACTATGTATAGGTACGTACATGTACATCACAATAAATGCACCTGTTCATAAACAGTAAGGCACGTTTTCAGTTCATGTTACGTCTGTTGCGTAGGGCCAAAATACGTAACAGACACGAAAAAGGTCTGAAAATGTGCATACATGTAAGGATAGCCAGCTGAATGCAGCCGAAAAGCGTAAACAGGACGGAAAATTGAATCTCCCTTATGCCAACAAGGATCAATAGATCTACATGTCCATCCCTGTCAATCTCCACAAGTAAACCTTCCGTAACACGTTTTCTCTCTTTTGCCGAGACGCTTCTAGTTTTCGCAAACCCACACAGATAATACCCCCACAAGCTTCAATTTTCCCTCAAACCCTATTTCTCCGTGATCCACCCAACCAGGACGGTAGCGTCCTCTTCACAAATTGGTCTTTTGCGTTACCGGAGAGAGATTACCCGAAGCGAGTGGGTTAAAGTGACAACAACTTGTTGACGTCCTAGTGAGTGCCCAAGAATCCCTGCAATTATGGGGAAGAAATCCGCTGAAATCCTCTTCGGGATGTTTTGCCATATTAGTCTGACTCAAGTTCAGGGTTTCTGTGCTGATGCAGTGGAGGATACTATTACTGTCGACACCCACCATATTGTTTCTGAAGCACACTGTTTAAAGGTAGTAGCTATCCAAAAAGTAACCAACCAAATTATTGTGAAAATAAATTCTCTTGGTTTTAAGATGGTAATGACACTAACTCCCTGTGAATTATTCTGTCTGGCATGCTGTCAGTTTAAAAAACAACAACAACAAAAGAAGGTAATTTCCAAAGATGTGTCAAGTGACACATTTTTTTGAAATCTCTGTGAATCCGCCCCCATGCTAATTTCTAGTTGGTTTGCAATGGGGCGAATCCGTGAATGGGTGACAACCAGCTGAATGAGAATCATGTCCCGAATGCTGATTTGGGGATTGTGTTATGAGAGGGTGCAATTCAAAATACGACTCGGCAACTTTGGAATTGGAAATCGAGATCCAGAATGTTGTGAACATTTATGTTTGTTCTGTTTTCTCGAAATATGCAGCATTCACAGAGCTAAAATTAGATATTGAGCACTTTTGTAGGTTCAAATAAAAAAAAATGCACAAATTACAAATGCTCTACTCTACCAGCACCTTTAGTCTTTACATGTAATTGGCCCATGTAATAGATTTTGTTTAAATGCAATCTATTTAATGCACGTTTATGTCCCATTTATCTTTACGTTCAATCTTCATATAATAGTGCTGTTTTCAAGGTTGTTTTGATGCCTCTTGAAGGGAAAATACAACATTTGCAAACATCAGAAAAGGAAATGATCAAATTATCACAAAATACCTTACTGAATTGTTCGGGAATGACAGTCTAAATCATCCTTTAAAATCGTGGCTCCTGGTGTGCTGACATTTTCAAGAAAACTGTATTTTTCCAACGCGGCCGACCAGCGTTGGAGAAACTGGCTTTAATCAAAAGTTGTTCGTAATTTTTCATATTTACATGTAGCTATTCTGACTTTTCTTTGCAATTGATTACACACCTGTGAAGGGGTACAAGCCTACCAGACTGATTCTCTAAGCTTACAATTCCCCAAAGTGTATTAATTGCTCTGTGTCATCTTAAGTGGGGTCAGGGAACCAGACTACAAGAACATGATAATTTTTTTTTTGGGGGGGGGGGTTTCCGGCATCTACAAGCCCTAAACGTGAAACGATATTTTCTATAACATACTAATCCCCCCCCCCCCCCCATTTTGGTGGATTTTGGAGGACTTGGTCCAAAAGGCTTGGCGTGACTAGATATTGATGGAGTATGATGGACTTGGGCCTGATTGGCCTGAAGCAGTGCTGGGGGTATCTGATTGGTTTTGCCTAGCTTCCTGTACTGCTATTGTTATAAAAGCCATGTGTATTAAAGGGAAAATACAACATTTGCAAACATCGAAAAATAAAACTACCAAGTTGTTACGAAATACCCTACTAGGATGTTGGTAAATGACATGCTAAAGCATCCTGTAAAATTATGGCACCTGGTGTGAAGCCATTTTCAAGAAAATGGTATGTTTGTATACATTTCCAGCGCTGGTCGGCCGACCACCGTTGGAAAAACCTAACTATTTTTCAATTACTGCTCCAAATTTACCATTTTTTTAGTCTAAATTTTGTTTTGCTAGCTATTGGTTCCATGTTCATGAACGGGTGCAGGCCAGCTAGACTGGTTCCCTTACCTTACAATTTTCCGGTATTTTTGATCCATTTCATCTTTAGTGTAGTCAGGGAACCAGACTACTTGAATATTTTTGTTTTTCTTGGTTTTTCCAGCATTTTCGAACACAAAACGTCAAACATGTCAGTGCAACAATATTTGATCTATTATACTAACCCCCAAAATAGTTCATTTCTGAAAATTACAGCAAAAGCCAATGATGTACATTCCCTTTAAGTCCATGAATGTCAGTCAGTGGTGGATTCCATTATATCATGTACAGTTTTGTATTGGGCGCACAGTGGTTGATGGATTTTGATGGACTTGGTCCAGTTCCTAGTAAAAGACGCTAGGGGGTTAGGGTTAAGCTTCCGGGTAGCTGGCCCTCTGAGGCCAGCAAAAAAAACCCACATAATAAACAAAACGCAACACATGTGTTGCGTTTTGTTTGTTATTTGGGGCACAATGGATCACCCAGGGTGTTTGTTGTGTGTTTATCAACACGAGTGCTCCGCTATCAGTGTTGCTATCTGGGCAAATCACTGCCCTAAATTTTCTTGTATCAGATACATCACGACAACAGCATAAATGACAACTTCAGTCATTAGGAAACATGTCAAAGTCTACAGAACTCATTGTGCGGGTATAGTCTATATATGGCTGTTTTTTGTCTGATGTACTTTTTAACGAAGTTTACACTGTGTACGGGCAATGTGCCAAAATCAATAATTAAAACTAACACCACCAGAAACGGAAACACGTACAAAACAGATAGGATGTTGACATTTCGGTTCAAGCCTTCTTGATGATGAAATCGCGCTAAACCTGAAATATTTCCTGAAGTATTGCATTTACTGCATCGTTAAGAGTTTCTATTATACCGGTACATGTATTACAATAAAAAAGTAAAATTCTGGATGAGTGTTGAAATCTCAACAAAACATTGGGTCAAAAACAACAGCCTACAAACAACACCTGGCAAGTCTAATAAACGTGGCCGCAGACGTCAAGTCAGTCCATGAGATATGTAGGACACTACCGGTACATGTACATAGTACATTGTAGGTTGGCTCTTTGACGTAGATCACTCATTGAGAAAACATCAAACAAACTGAACATTTCATCCCTCCTCCCAAAATTACAAAAATCCTTGGGCATTCAAATAAAATTCCAGAACTACATGTATGTATGTAAAAGGGTCACTAGGACCTGAAATCCCTGAAAATGTCATGTTTTGGATTGTTTACTTATCCTACCGGTGTTTCAAACATCTGGTTCAAAGGAAACCAACCTAATGTCTTACCGTTCCCGAGAAAAGACAAAAAAACCTTGGTTGTTTGCATTGGACATGATGGAGTATGAATACGCTTTTCCTGCCGTTTTCACTTTCAGTCAATGTACACGTGTACGATACATCATACATGTACATGTATGTATGTACATGTACACAGCACCGTGCTCGCGAACAGCGCGCGGTGACCAACGCACAAGACATACAAAATATGGATTCTTACACATCCGCAAAAGGTGAATCACTTTACGGATGAAATCACAACTAGCATCAAAACAGCTCAAATTTTTGGGGTTGCAGAAGTGGACCCCGAAATTCGTTCACGCACGCATACATGCAAGACAGGTATAACACAAATTTGAAAGGATAGTTGTTTGGATGTTTATATCCTACTTTTAAATGTTCTTTCAGATTAACATCATTTCGTTCAAAGCGCGTTTTGTAGCCCAATTGGACTGTTCCAGGACCCAGTGTCCCTTTAACTGTTGAAAACAGTCACTTGATTGGTTTTGACTGCAAGGACAACTTGGCACAGCATGTACATTGTACATTGTATGTTTGCATAGCAGGGTTAAATAATTGCATGCATGCGCAGGTTACTTCTCTGTTGCATAATTGTGAGGAAAAGGTGGCTGTAGGGGGAGAAGGGAAGCCATCACTTTCCATCAAGTTGCCTGTGTATTATCAGTATCTTACCGGTAGTTGCTTTGCTGCAACCACCAGTTGACTTCTCTGCAACGTAGTAAAGCGCCATCACTTTCCATGAAGTTGCCTGTGTATTATCAGTATCTTACCGGTAGTTGATTTGCTGCAACCACCACTTGACTTCTCTGCAACGTAGTAAAGAGCCATCACTTTCCATGAAGTTGCCTGTGTATTATCAGTATCATACCGGTACCGTAGTTGCTTTGCTGCAACCACCACTTGACTTCTCTGCAACGTAGTAAAGTGCCGGGAACTCTGTTTTAAGTAAAAGTTGTCTTGTTTTTCCTCGATAGTTTGTGGGAGCTTGGACATCCGAAACAGAGTGGAAAAGTTCAAGGAACTCGAGAACTGTACCATCATCGAAGGGGACCTGCACATTCTTCTTATAGACCAAGTATCTCAGGGGGACTATGACCACCTTTCCTTTCCCAAACTCCGCGAGATCACGGGATTCTTCGTGCTTTACCGCGTCTCGCAGCTCCTGACGCTCCGTTACATGTTCCCCAATCTCGCCGTCATCCGCGGCGACACGCTTTTCTACAACTACGCCTTGGTCATCTACGAAATGCTCGAGATGCAAGAGATCGGCCTGAACGGTCTGGTAACCATCCTGCGGGGCTCCATCCGCCTTGAAAAGAACCCCAACCTGTGCTACATGGACACCATAGACTGGTCCCTCATCCTGAAGGAAGGCACGGAGAATAACTTCATCGCTGATAACAAGGACCAAGGAGGGTGCCTTAATTTCTGCCCCAAGACGGGCTGCCGGACACCGACGGCGCTGGGCACCGTGCGGGAACTCTGCTGGTCAGGCGACCACTGCCAAAAAGGTAAGACGCTCATTCAACGTTATTTGACAACTTACGAGGCTACGGCGTACAATCACACATGCCCCTATGGAAGTGGTTGAAGCCGCTTCGTATAGACTTGTGTGTGTTTAATATACTGCTGGCTTTAGCCAAGGGATTTTAGTGTTGCTTTCACAGGCTTTTAAAAACCAGTCCGGAAGCATGCTGCAGAGATATTGCATCTGTTTATTTTGTAGCCTGGAGTGGCATGAATCTATGCAATGGATTCCGTGCACAAGTATATTACTGTTAATAATTACGCTTTCTTGTAAGCAGATAACGAAATAAATTTAGCAAATTTGCAGAATGAGGCAGTGTGAAAGCGAATGCAAAAATGAATTTGTGATGTTACGACGAATTTGCAACAGTTAAACATATTTCAACTCTGGCGAATTTCGCAGCAAGTGGGACATGTCAAATTCGCTTCGCATGCCCATTAGCGTGGAGTATGAACTAGCCTTTACGTTCTTTGTTTACATTACCTACCGGTATCAATGCAAGCCGACACTGTACACTCACGTACATGTACAGCGTGCGTGGATTTGTCTACAGGATTCGCTGTGAATTTCATTTGAAACGCGTCCTTGTGAAAACGTGTGCTTGTTTATTTGATATGCAGGGTGAGTCAAACAAAACGAAACCCAAATGTTGGGACCATTGTTTTAGTGAAGTTCTGCATGTAGCACTTTGAAAATCTAGGTTATAAAAGCCCTATTCATAAGCTTTCTTTTAGTACAAGAATCATTCAAATCACTCATGTACTTTTCAAGTTACATGTACGGAATTTTAAACACAACCACCGTTGTACATGTAAAGATTCTGTCCACAGATCACAAAAAAGTTCAGTGTTCTTTTGGCAAAACAAAAACCAATCACATAGGGATGTGTGTGAATTGTTTTCGTATTGCTGAAAGAACGCACACCTTTTTTGTGATCCGTGGATAGAACTTTAAAACGGTGGTTGTGTTTAAAATTCCGTAACTTGAAAAGTATGTGAGTGATTTGAATGATTCTTGTACCAAAAGAAAGCTTTTGAATTTGGCTTTCATACCCTAGATTTTGAAAAATGCTACATGTACATGTAGAACTTCAATAAAACAATAGTCCTGACATTTGGGTTTCGTTTTTTGGACTCACCCTGTATATTATTCAAATAAAAACATTTGTAAATAGTGTTGGTGAGTGGTGAATATTTCAACTCTAGTACTTGTGAAGAAATTACTTGCCAGTAGTGGCGTACTCGTGAAACGCTCCCAGCGGTACATATTTGTGGAGGTCAGAACATCAGTCATGTATACTGGTAAACAACGTACATCAAGGTACATGGCAGCGACGGCAAATAGATTTGCTCTGACTAGACCAAATTAATTGGACATGCAACGCAACTGCTGAAAATGACAGTACTGACGCAACAGATGCAAATTAGGCAGGGTTGCACAACACGGGCAATTGGGGTGTTGCCCCAATCATTGACTTTAATCATTGACAATCAGTGGATTGGCAGCGCCAAACAGCATTGACTCCTTGCGCGTGTCGCTTGCTGTAAACAGGCGTATTAAAATGCCTGCCAGAATCCAAATACGGTACGAGTGCTTGTTACTGAACCAACGAAAGAAAGTGAAAACTCAAATGGATTTAAGGGTGCGAGGGAATTGTGTGGTATCATCGGGACTGAAATCGTTGTACGCTATGAAAACTTACAACTAAGTTGTCATTCATCATGTTCATGTAGGATTTCCTCAGTATAGTTACAATGTATGTATGCACACGTATGCATGCTGTATGTTTGAGTGATTGATATTGCTGTAACGGCACAATTCTCTTGGCACAAACAGTTGAAAAAAACATGTTTATTGAAGCATTTTAATATGTTTACTTTGTTTACAAGTACAGTATATTGAAGATTGCAAAGAGGTAATCTTTTAATGGTACGGTTAGCAACTTGATATGCATGTACCCGGTACCGGTACATGTACCGTAAATTCTGTAAATAACAATGACGTGGTTAAAACATAGATATTGACTAACACCGCGTTCCCACTTGAATTGGAAAAAGGTGGATCAAGATCCAGCATTTTGGTGTGATCGTTATCTTACCGCAACGAAACCGCAAGTCGCGTTCCCACTTATGCTTGATCCACCTTTTCGTACGGAAATGTTGGGTCCGAAAGGTCACTGAGTTCGGAATTACGCGCGCTCTGTGGGAGTGCCATTGTTGCATGATTGTATGCTTGGCCAGGATGGGTCAGTTTTCAAACAGCACTATCAGAATTCACCGACAAAAATTACGCGAATTTACCAACATAAATCACGGATCCGTAGAGGATCCGTGCGTGCATAAATTAACAGGTGAAATCCAACAGAGCCGCTCATTGTGTGACATCACGGCAGAAACCAATGCATCGATAAGGGATTCCCTGGATCTGAAGCTTCTCATTGGTTAGAAACGGTCACATGATGTACTACGACATCATTTTCCAATTTTCTATAATCAATACTTCAGATTTGTCACCTCCGTACGACCCTGTTATTGGCACTATTCTCATCGCATACTCGTAAGCTTTTCCATGATTCTGTGCCAAAGTGAAGTCTTTTGGTGAGTGCGGACCTCAGAGTCATTTATGGATGGAAAAAAAGTAAAATTTCAGGAATGAAAAAGGTTTAGTAATGGACGAACACGCAACAAAAATAAGGCCTATATAGTGTAGTTTTAGGTTACCACGTGCGCTTTTGCATGCGTGGTACTAGCCCGTAGTTCAGCGGTTGTTTATTGTGCATGTTGTATACGCTGGAAATGTTCACATGAGCTACACGCCTGAAAACGTGTTTCTTCGTTCATGAGACCGCAACATTTTCGCGCCACTCGTGCACCGGGCGGATGTTAACAGGTCAAATTGCCGGATCAGATCCACCTTTTGCGTTCCCATCTGATCGTGATCCGGCAATTGCCGGATCTGATCCACCAATTGGGGGATCTGTATCCTGGTCCAGAGGTGGATCAGAAAAGGTGGATCTGATCCTGATCCACCTTCTAACGGTTAGCGTTCCCACTACACACAATTGCCGGATCTGATCCACCAATTGGGGGATCTGATCCGGCAATTTGGCAAAAGGTGGATCAGATCCCCCAATTGGTGGATCAAGTGGGAACGGGGTCTAAGGTTGCAGGCATGTACAATGTAACGGTAGGCCCAAAATTGCCTACGCCGGCCAAATCTCGATTTGCATGCCCTCAATTTTGCTGCTTTTAGAGCATTTGATGGGCCATGAACTTGAGGGTTTGTAAAAAAAAAGAAGCCGTGCACAGGACTGCGAGCTTGTACTTCTATAAAATTTGGATGAAATTGAGCCCTAAAAGTGCTCTATTTTGCAATGGAGCGCAGGCATCATTTTTTTCAAAATGGCGATGGGCTTTAGGACTACTTTTAGGGGTGATCATCTTTGGATGGAAATTGCTCCCGAAAGTCATCGGATTAACCCCAAAATATTTAACAGAAAATGAAAGATGATGAAATTATACAATTTACTTAAATAGTTTTGTTGTGTGTCTCAAATACCTGGGAGACCTGTTAGTTCTTTTCCTGATTTTTGGAAGTGGAGGATTCAGGAGTCTATTTGCATACTGGGCCCAATTTCATAGCACTGCTTAACAGTAAGCAGAAAAGTTGTGCTTATTATAACAGAAAATCATGCTGCTGCTTAAGCACTATTTCATGCTAACGGTTGCGCGCGCATGGAGATTTCTATTGTTACGTCACTGATTTAGGCAAAGTTTTCTTCTGGGGTTAAGCGTGCTTTTGCTGTGCTTACTGCTTAACGGTCCAATAGATGGAGGCTCGGTAGGCACAAAGTCGGCTGTTAAGCAGTGCTATGAAATTGGGCCCTGGTCTGCAACCCTATTAAAATGCGGCTTGCAAGAAATGATCCATGCCTTCTTTATGCGTGTACCGGTAGCTACTTTTAATTAAGACTTAATAAAGCGTTTGACGTGACTCACACTTACATGTATCAGTGTGTGTGCTCATACATGATGGCCTGGAAAATTGACTTAGACATTTCATCGCTGTTTTTTCGTGTAGTTGAAGAATCCCCAAATGCTCACCACACTACAGTCCTCAGATTGTGTCTTTGCTTGTCACAAATTATCATGATTTTGTGAATAAAAGATCCGGGTACATTCATAATGCCCATAGTCTTAACCTATTTTTTTCCTGTTTTTGGCATCTGCAACCCTCACGACCGGCTTTTACTTGGGTCACTTTTGTGCCTCTCTCTATCCACTTCAAGATTAATAACATTTGAAAGTTGAAGAAAGAAATTGACTGGAGCGGGGTTTGAACCTGCAACCTCTTGGTCAATTCTGTTGATTGTGCTCTACCAACTGAGCTATCCAGCCTTATGTTGGCGGTTCCCCTCTTTGTCAATGATTATTTTCATTAAAGTATTGGTCATTAGTGAAATCAAGGATGCCTCAAAAGCGCCCTAGGCACTGTAGCTCGCAAGCCTGAAGAAACCTGTAGAGAGAAGACAATGAGAAGAGTTTTAGTGTGGGTGGAAAACCCTAGAAGAATATTCTGGGGAAACCCAGGGAATCAGGTGGGGACTGAAAAACCCAGTCCACAATGTGGACCAGGACAGGAATTGAACCCAGGCTGCAGCGGTGGAAGGCGAGGACAGTAAACACTGCACCAACCTGACTCCCCAGTGTTTTTGTTCAAGGGCGCTAGTCCTTTGGGGTACATTTAAAAACACCCAAAAACTGAAAGATTATTTAGATACACTTTTTATGGTCACATAAAATTGGATTGGGTTTTCAGTCCCTACCTGATTTCGTGGGTTTTCCTCAGAATGTTCATCTGGGCTTTTCCTCCCACCTCTAAAACTGTCTTTTCATTTCATTGTCTTTTCAATGGTTTCTTCAGGCTTTCGGGTTACTGTGCCTAGGGCACTTTTGAGGGATCCTTGGTTTCATTACCAGAAATAAATAAAATAAAAATAAATAAAACAAAAATAAATAATTAAAACCTTTTTTGAAACAATTATCCCATCACTATATGCTAGCAGATTTTTTCTTTGATTTCTCTTTCCAAAATAAATGCAGGGTTCGACTTTAGCGGTAGCCCGCTGGCCAAATGATAGTCAAAACAGCGGCGGGCTAGTCAAACTATTCCTTGAGTAGCCCGGCTGGCGAGTCAAATATTATTGGGCTACGGCAAAGATGAAAGGACAGGAAAAAATAAATAATTAAATTCAGAAAGCAAACCTGTTACCAATTAATGTCTAATTTTATTCACTGTAAATTATTTGATCTGTTTATTAAAAACATTGACAAGATTGGCTCAGGAAACACGTTTTACATGCTCCTTGTTGTTTACGAGACACTCTATAAAAGAAAAACATGTGGACTAGTGAAAATGCCTGTCTGTTTCAGCAGCCCAGCTGGTTAGTGAACAAAAAGTTAAGGTCGAACCCTATAAATTACATGTTTGTGTTATTGCTAGGAAAATGCAAAATAAATCTAAATTTAGTTTTCTGGCCGAAACTCTTAAGTAGCATGGCGGGACGGAGCAGCTTTAAGCAGTATGACAGGTGATGTTGCGAGGAATCAACAACACTGCGCAGTGTA